AGATCAATACATTATATACACTTTTTAACATAAGGTACGGAACAATTGTACAACTAATTAAAAATTAATTAATTAATAATAGTTTATTTGCTTTTTAGTATATAAAATATCAATATAATAGTTTATTCTTTTGTTCACTTTTATCCTTTTAACACATTTTCATAAAAACTTTCTTACATAAACTTGATTATTTTTCCATTTCATAAAATCGCGTGTAATCAATGAAAAAAAAATCCATTAAAAGAACAAATGCCACGTACGAATATGTTTTCTTATGCAAGAATACGATACCAATTTAAATGTTAATTCCTGTAATTGGGAACAATACTCAGCAATAGAAGAATCCTCTTGACACAAGCCGTTGAAAAACGAATGAATTGTTACTCACAACTTCTGCGTCCATAATCCTGCCAACTAGAAATAGATCCTCGGCTCATGTGATCAGCTTCCGGTTTCCGTCGGTCGAAAGGACGAGAATCTCGCGTGCAGCGTTTAACGCGTGAAGAAACAATTATCAGTCACCGTCGGTTGGCGAAAACAATACGAAAGACACGGCGAAGAAGAATTCGTTTTTCGAAATTGCAAGTTAAATTCGCGAACGCAGTGGCGCGCTTCGTCAGTGCAGGTGCAACACAATTAGTGGTTCTACCTGTGATGCAATAGGCGAACACTGGAATGGCTCAGCAGTCGGAATGCAGTTTGTAGCTCCCCACTTTTTTCAAACGTTGCCGCGACGTATCACCACTCTTTGTAATTGTCCGGTGTTCTTCCCTTTCCTTTCTGCACGATGCACATGGTCCAATCTGTAAGTATATACATAATTACGAATATTTTTGGTAGATATCTTATTATTGAGTTGTATTTGAATGTTTTAAATTAAATTATTCGAATACACGTCTTAGAAAATACACACAGCACACTATATTTGGAAGAACATTGATAATAGAATCGGAGACAGATAAGTTTGACGAAGAACCAGGAGTTTCATAAGTGTTTCATTGATAGTTAAGCAGAACTCTTTATTTTGACCACTATTTTTGATCACGATTCCGAGGATTTTTGGAAAAATGAAAACAGATTCTGAAATGTTTACTTGTACATTGTATTATCTAATGTCTGTGCTTTAATGTGAGACTTTTTTATATAAATAATATAGAGTTCAATTAAAATAGGTGACATTAAAGTTGATTTAAAACTGAAATGGAATTGCAAAAGTCGAACGTTATTTTCATTAATATGTCTACAGTTGTAGATATAAGAATGGTTTCATTATAAGCAATTAATTCTATACATATTTTTTATTAATAATTGTGAGAAGTTAGTTTAGTAATATAGTTCTAATTTGGGCTGTAAAGAAATGTGTACAAAATACATTTATCAAATTTGAAAGAAATCAATAATATAGTGTTTCTATGATTATGGATGTTAGTTCCGAAAGTTCTGTTTTAAAAGAAAAGTCTTCAAGATTCTGAAACTGATAACAGAACAATTTTCTCATTTAAGTTTAGTCAACGTTTCCTGAAAAATAACGTGGTGCTTCTTTTGCTGTAATTTCTCCTATAACCTTTCTTTCTGTCTGTCCCTTCTTTATTACCACAGGAGATCAGCTAAAGCGATATGGGTTCTGTTAAAGAAAATTTGTCAAACACTGAACACTAATTTCAATAATAACATCCAGAAACTTCATAATTCGAAAACTTATATAAAATCCACTATTAATTAAGTTTCCGTTAAATAGAAGTAAATATTCCTGAAACATTGGGTTTATATCAAACATCATTATGTTTCTATCTTTTAATAATTTCTCATTCTACTACAAAAGGTATGTATTTACTATATGTATCCTATCATTTGTAATGCAAAGTTACTTGAAATATTGCATCAACCCATAAATAATGCGGATTTTTATATTTCTTTTGTTTTTAAAAATAAAAGAAATATAAAAATTCGCATTATACATATGATGACTCAATAATATTCGTCAAATGAAACTGTTCTTTTCTCTTTTAATTCCCCAACGAATCAAGAATCTTCTCCGTTTTTTAGATTTCATATGACTACAATAGACATTATTTCTTCACTCGTGGATTAGAATCTGTTCTAACTAGATCAATATTATTTAAAAAAGGTAATTCTTGAAAATTCCGTTATTGTTATACTGTCGCAGAAGGGGGATCGTTCAATTATTTAGAATAACAATCACCTATAATAATTGTTTCAACAATATTTACAGTAATATTAAATATTCCACAACGTATTCAATTACTGTCATTCATCTGCAATTGGTTGACTTACTAAATACAATTAACTTATATTGAAATATCTTATTAACACTGAAATTACCAGCCGGTTCATAATAATCCACTTCAATTTTTTAATTTCATAGTAGTGGAAACCGAAAAATATTACTAGAAGGTTGTTAAATAAACTTATTCGTTAATGTTTGGAGTGTATCTCAATCAATTAACTAAAGCAAATACACTTGCATAATATTTAGGCGAAATTAAAAGTAAGTGGCTTTAATTATTCTAGGACTTTTGGTGATAACTTAAGTTACTGTCTAAATAGCGTATGCATCACAAAGATGCTTATCATATGAAGCTCTGCTACTTTGTTTCTACTTAACTTCTTAGCCTACAATATCGTGTTAGACTCGTGACGAAAATTTTAAATTGAATTTGACAAATCCAAGTATTATTTATTTTCTTTAAATATAAATTGAATATTACTTGTCCGTTATCAATCGTTAACCTTTAAAGTAAACGTAGACACAGAATAAGCATTAAGTTGGTTTTCTTTCCAATACATTAATAACGATAAAGTAGTTATATTGATCATAGTTAAGAAATAAATCATAAGACAAGGGGTTAATTTCTACTACTTCTCTACTAATTTTCATCTCACCTTCGTCTTAACTTACCGGTAGCTAAATAAGCTTCTGTCGATCGATAGCCTATAAATAATCTTCCCAAACCTTAAACGTTCAATATTTTCTTTTATTAGCATTCTATAATTCGCAATATTAATTCGCCTAACAAGTGTTATCAACAATCTTTAATCATTTACAAACAAAAACCGTGAC